TGTCTATCTACATCAGTTTAAAATTAAGGATTTAAATGAATATAATTGAAAAAATTGACATAGAAGTTTTTAATACAAATTTTTTAATTTTTAAAGTTTTTAAAAATTTTATTGTTATTTTTTTATCGATTTATTTATTTATTTGTATATTTATTTATTTTTTAATAATTAAAATTAATAAAGTATTAATTAAAATTTATAAAAATATATTCAAATAATTTTTTATTAAAATCAAAATTGATGTGAATGTTTATTTTAAATAAATTGATTGAAATTAGTAAAAGGAAATAGTATTTGTTCGCTTTATCTTTAAAAAATTAGGAGAAAAAATAATAAAAAATATTTTAATTTATACTTTAAAAATATAATATTTTAGTCTTTTTCAATAGATGTTTATTAAAATAACATAATTTTAAAATAATATTTATCATAATTTTTAGGAAATAAGGTGAGTAAGCATTATTTTCAATAAAAACTTGAATTTTTTTGATTCAATTAATAGTTTTTAAATTTAATAACTAAAAAATTAATTAATTAATAATTTAATTTTGATTGCAATAGAAACCAAAACTATGTCAACACCTATCTTATGTTTGGGTTGCGAGGAAGGGAAGGGAGGAGAATTCTCCTCTTCTTCCTTTCCTCGTTTAAATAAGTAAATAAAATTTTAAAATAATAAAGCCTCTCCTTCTTCTTCAATTTTTTTGTTAACTAAATAAAAAATTATTTTCCCATCTTCTCTCTTCCCCTCCCCTCCCCTCCACTTCTTTCCCCGCAAACCAAGTATATTGCTAATGATGAATTAATTAGTTAGCCCAATGAAAGCTTGTGTCTACATATATTTTTAAGAGTTTTAAAATTTTCAATTCTGGTTGCATATTAAATATGCAATTCACATACTAGAATTTAAATTATTGTTAGTGAATGAACATAAGGAAGAACTTCATTGAGGATTTTTGAGTTTTAATAAAAATAAAGATACAACCTTTTTAAAATTTTCTAATTGAGGGTACGGTCTTTTTATGTAATTAATTAAGGTTATCACATTTTAAAAATTTTTAATCAAGGATATGATCTTTGCAAATTTACTAATAAAGGATTAAATGGATGTGCATGTTGACGTGGTTAACGGATTTTGCTTAATCTTTGGTTTGCCTTTTTTTTTTTTTAAATGATGGTGGCTACGTTAGCATGCACATCTACTTAAACCTTCGGTAGTAAAATTGCAAAGATCATATTTTTAATTTGAAACTTTTAAGGTGGTATCTTGATTAGATACGAAAAAAAGGTTGCACCCTCAATTATTATTTTTTTTAAATGTTCTATCCTTATTTTTATCAAATTTTAGGGTATTTTAATAATTTTAGTATCTGAATTATATTTTTAACATATAATTTGAATTGAAAATCACTTTTTTGCATTTTAATGTATTTTTTTATAGTAGATTCTTTCTTTTTATATACATTTTTATAAATCATTTTTTAAATGCTTTGAATGTGATCTATTTTCTTTTTCTTTTTTTTTTTTATTTTCTTATCAACAAAATAAAATTTATTTATTTTTTGATATTTATGGTTAGGTATTTCTAGAATAACTTTTACGTATCTCAAGACTAATCTCTTATTAGACAATTTTAAGAATACACCCCTATATTAACATGTTATATTCAAGGAAATTAATTTTATTGGATACTGTCCCCAAGACTTAAACCTTTAATTTGACCTACAAACAATACTTATTTATTAATGGATTCAACCCTTAGGCAACATCCATAGAATTATAAATTAAATCTTTAAAGTTGTTGCTCCTAGAGTTTTACTAATGGTCATGGTCATAAGAACATGTAAGTTATTGTTAAGGCCACACAAAATATTATAATTATGTTTGAGTTATTTGATTTTATCAATTTATATTTGTTAGGGTATTTGAAAATATTAATTTATAAGTTAATTTTAAACTATTAATTCATAAATATTAGCTGTTTTATAAGTTATTAGCTAGTAGTTATAGCTATCAAGTATCAAATGCTTCTAAGAGTCAAACCAAATACAAATTATATTGCTACTATGTGGTCTTAAAAATTATTTGTGTGGTGATAATCATGTTGTTAATGTTCTAAATTTGATTGTTTGTATCAATTAATTTTTTTTTATTTTATAGGAATTCATGATACAACTCTTTGTAAATGTATACTCAAACAGTTATTCCACAAAAGCTATATGTGAGATGTATGATTTGTTTGTTTGGTTTGCCATGACTTTGACTGTTTAGTTAGTTAGGAATGAGTTACAATTCAATGCTAGATCTATTAGTGAATTTTTCCTTTTGCTTAACAGTTCTGGATGTTTCGAGACTAGTTTCTTGGTAGTTGGGCACCAAAGACTATTTCCTCTTTAATTTGATCAAAAGCAGACCATCAATACAAATTATAGAATTAATAAGTAAATATTAAATTAACTCTTTATTCACCTCCAATAAAAGTAAAACTTGGTTAACAAAACGAGATGCAAACTTCTTCAGTAATTAAGCTACTACTTCTTAGCTATTGAAGAGAGGTTATTTGAGATGGTCATATAACATTCATACCATTGGATCTCTGATAGGTAAAGAATTGCATAGGGGCACAGCCTTCTGACTCTTCTCTGCACTAGGAGTGCTTTGCTTTGCCCTGTTTTGGTATTGGAAACGGACTACTGCTGGATGGAGTCGGGGAAATAGCTATATATAAAACTTCAAAAATATTTGCTTTTGTCTTCCTTCCAAACCCATGAAATTTTTTGAATTAAAATAAGATTCCATTTATTAGGAAAGAAGGAAAGAAATGCTTGATTACATAAATTAAGGTCTTACAACCGATTAAGATTAACATATAATAAAGTGCAGATTTGTTTCAAGTTCAACATTATATTATACCCCTTCCAAATCCATGAAAAAGCAAACAGGTTTCTTGGTTTTTTAATTCTTCTGGTTCCAATACCAATATGACAATGAGGACATCCAAAGTGATGAAATTCATGGGGAAAATCGTACCGGTTTTCTGTAGGCATCTTAATTCTTCTTCTTCAAGATATATATAACAATGACAGGTAGCCATGTGGGGACCATCGAGTTCCCATCATGGCATCAGTGCCCTGAATTACGCAAAATCATAGTCAACCCCTTCGAAATGTCGCCATGATGATAGCTAGCTTTGGGCTTGTATATGCATGAAGATGGCTGTGATTCTTTTATACATCAGCCACTCACCTCTCTATATATGTTGCCTGGATGTGGGTTACAGGAGCAGAAACATTAGCTTCAGGGCAGGACCAGTGGTAGGGCAGAAAATGTACATGCTTTTTCCGGCATAGCCCCCCTTCATTATGTGCTGAATAAGAATTCGTCAAAAAGGTGACCTGCAGCAAGCTAGACATTTTGAGGCGTCTCTATAACAAATTATTTAGGTTTGGACCACTAACAGATTAATTAATACTGTTAGAGAGGAACACATTCAGAAACAAGGAATATTGTTAAATAAAAGAGTCCTTGTTTGATAGTATGAACTATAATAAAATAAGGATTATTAGAGAAAAGGGTGAGTCATTTGCCTTATTTAATAATTTAAGTTATGTATTTGATATAATAAAAATTATATTTTTTTAAATAAAAAAATAAAAAAATTATTTTACAAAACAGATTGTATATAGTTTATTTTATAAAATTATTTTAATATTTTTTAAAAAATAATATAAAAAAATTAAAAATATTTAGATAATTTTATAAGATAAATTACATTTAATCTATCTTGTAAAATAATTTTTGAAAAAAAAAAGATTTTAATAAAAAGTAGGTAGATTTTAATGCTAGCCCCTCTCTCTCCCTTCCCCCCTCCCCCACCATCTATTGCTTCATTTTTTGCCCATAACCATTGCGTTTCTCGTTCCTGATGGTTAAGGAGTACGAATAAAGGTGTGATTTTCTCCCTTTTTTATGAGTTCCTATTTCAAAAAAAAAAAGAAAAAGGTTTATCTTACTATTTTGAGGGTTTTTGTATAAATGAGTTCCATCAAATTTTATTTTTGAGTTTTACTACTAGAAAAATGACGTATACGGACCGAATATATACAGATCGAATAGTGTCGGTCCGAAAAAATAAATATTCGAACCAATATCGGTCCGAATATATTCAGGTGGCACAAAATATACTAATGAACATATTTGGACTTGTATTGGTCCATATATTTCTGACGGGAATTCACAGTATAGAAGTGCCAATAATATTTAGACCGAAAACGGTCCGAATATTATTTCTGAAAAAAATAAATATTAAATAACAAAAAATATGAATAAAATATTATTTAAATAAATATATACAAACCGGTTTCGGTCTGTATATATCCATTAGAAAATACGAAATTTCATTTTTATATTTGGACCGATTTTGGTCCGTATATTTATTATTTTTCGTAAAAAATAAAAATTAAATAACAAAAATTAGGAATGAATTATTATTTTTAATGAAAATATACAGACCAAAATTGGTCCGTATATATTATGTTGAAAACTGTATATATTAATTTGTTATACGGATCGAGATCGGTTCGTATATACGTATCCGGACCGATCCCGATCTAAAAATTTGCATCAGGGAATCTCTGAATTGTTTGGACGCTGGGGCCCACCCACAGTTGTTTTCTAACCGGGATCGGTCTGGATAAGGCTGCATGTAGCCTTTTTCCTTGTGTTTCGCTCGTCCCCTCCCCACCCCCCCATTCTACGATTTCTCCACAATTTTCCTCTGTTTTTTCTTTCTTTTTTCTTCCTCTCCACTGCAAGCTTCTCCTCCAATCTTTGGCCAACCACCACCGAGGTAAATAACTCTTTTCAGCCGATTTTTGGTTGGCGATCTTGCTGGTGTTTTTTTTTTTTTCTTTTGCAGCCTAACAATTTTTTTTTTGTTCGACAGTCTAACCATAATTTTTTTTTTACAGATCTGCTATGTTTATCGGTTGATCTGGGCATTTGCAAGTATTTTGGTTTCTAATCTACCCTATAAGTGAGTTTTTCGAATTTTTTTCTTTTTGTTTCAAAATTTTTTAATTATTATGTATTTTTTATTAAAATCTGAAAATAAAATTTGTATTTAATTGTTGAAATGATAGAATGTTGTT